GAACAGGTGTGGCTGGAAGGCTGATGTGTCTGTCTTACCCACTGACCAATTGGCATCTGAGCTTTTGCACAGGCCTCTATGAGTTTGTGGGTCTGAGTCAGCCTCCCTGCTTGAGATGATTTCTACAGGGACCAGGTTTCTGAGTCTCAGAGCATAGGCCAGGCTCAGAGTCACGGTGCATGTACCCAGTGGGGACCTCTCTGTGAAGCTGGCTGGTGCTCCGCTCTGCAGAGCCGTGTCCCACTTCAACTACCTTCCCATCATAGATGAATAAAACCCAGGCTTAGCTGGCAAGGTAGCACATGCCTGTAACCCTAGAGGCTCAGGTATCTGAGGTCCCAAACAAAACAAAATCCAAAAAATTAACAAACCCATGGTAGCACAGGGTCTACCAACTTCCTCACTCAACAGTTCCTTCACATTATCCTACACTGTGTATTGTGAAAATTTCTCTTCTTACTCTGATAATTCAACCAATTCAACCCACATTATGTCATCATTATAATAAAAGTATCTATTCATCAAATCTTCTGTGTGCCCAACCACCCCACAGAGAAAGCATGAAAGCTTTCGATGTGTGTCTACCTCTCATTATTACTATGTTTTAAAATGAAGCTGTGTGTGGGAACTTCAGGAGACATCCCAAGAGAAGAGTTTGCCATCCTCCATGTGCTTTCCAGGTTTTCTCATTCTGAAAGTGGACAACATGATCCTTACTTTCTGAAGGAAAAAGAGGAAGAATATGGTCCTGACTGGAGAAGGCAGCCTGGCAGTTTTATCTAGTTGGAGGAGGAGGAGGAGAATTCTGGGTAGACCCTGGTGTATTGCAGTAGATTCTGGCTGCCAGTCTTGACCCAGATACAGAAAGATGATAACCTAGGTGCTAAGCCCTTAAAGAATGCTCTCTATTTGTTCACTTCCTCTACCTCACATTTGAACATAAGGCAAAAGAAACCGAACTGTGGGTAGATGCATGATGGATTGTTCTGTCTTCCACAGCATGGGAGTAGAGGGAGAAAGAAGAGTGGCTACACTTAGCTTGGGAGTGGGAACTCCAAGAGTACCTCAGGCTGTAGTGACAACTCCCTCCATCTTTCCGAACCTGTATAGAAGGGTAGTTTGGTTTTTGGCCTGCCACTCAGGAGATCATAGCTAATGTTTTGTTTTGTTTATTTGTTTGGTTTTGGGACCAGGGATTGAACCCAAAGGTGCTTTACTACTGAGCCACATCCCTGGCCCTTTTTTTTTTTTTTTTTAAATTTTGAGACAGGATCTTGCTAAGTTGCTTAGGACCTCGCTAAGTTGCTGAGGCTGGCTTTGAACTTGTGATCCTGCTGCCTCAGTTTCCTGAGCCGCTACGATTATAGGCATGCACCACAGCACCTGGCTAATGTTCTGTTTTTGACACTTTGGGAAGGTTGGTTATTTCTTAAAGCTTTAGTTTCTCTTTTGTTGGATTTCTAAGAAGCAAACCCTTCATTTCTGCATATTCTGTGAGGTAGTCAGCACCTTAGGAAATATGCTTGAAGTAATGCACCTGACAGTTGGGTTAGACTCAAGGACAGATTAAACACGTGAGTGTCTCAGATCATAGCCCGGAGTTCCCTTAAAGCATGCTCTCTATTTGTTCATTTCCTCTACCTCACATTTGAACATAATGCAAAATATTTGTTCAAAATAAGGAATTTATACCATATGAATATGATGCAGCCTGACCTAACTCTCAACTACTTATTTTTCACTTAACTTTTTAAAAATGCCACCAACAGCTAGTCATCAATCATCCACATTTAACTAAGTGTGAATATAGCCAGAGTCTTTCAAATTATATTTAAGAATTCTTTTCTGGTTGGCCAAACTATCTTCACTTTTCTGCAATTTCTGTTTTCTTTCTAGTGCTTAAAACAAAACAAAACTTTGAAGTCAGACATTTCCTTGGGAGCCAAATTAGATTTTTTTTTTTTAAACCCAGGGCCTTATACATTGGAGGCAAGCACTCTACCAACTGAGATATAGCCTCAGTCCTTAAGATTTATATTTAGATAATAAAATACAGCTCAGTGAAAGCACTGTACTGTGCATTATTCAGTTTCTGAGTTTTAGGGGAAGGAGACAACTAACTTCTGGACACTGTCAATTATGTTGCAAAAATATCATCAGTGAAAGGCTGGTGCCTGGGAGGTGTGTTTTAAAATGTCCATTGGAAGAGACTATTTCAGTAGACAATTAACATTTTGAAGTAATGTAAGGTGTCTCGAAAGCAAACCTGAGATAATAGGCACCATATTTTTTTATTATTTCTGCTGTTTAGTGTTCCTTTTAAAGCTGTACCTGGCCAGTCATCTCATCTGACTCCAAGCAAAGCAGGAAAACAATGGGTTGAGAGATCTGGGTGTGAATATATAAGACTTTGGGCAAGATAGTTAACCTCTGAGCCTCAGTTTCTCCCTTATAAAATGGTGATAATAATCTATTTTGAAGTTATTATAGATAATATTGAAGTTGTAAATAAGGCTAATATTATTTAAAAGCATGTTATATACCATAATATAGTCTATTGTAAAACATGTTATAAATAATTAACAGGCAATTATCCTTTCTCCCTAACCTTAATAGCCTTTTAACAGATGGTTACTTTGAAGAGTTTTCTAGAGCCCAGGTTTGCTATAAAGACTGGTCTCTGAGGTCAGCACGTGTTCATATGCTCTGTAATATTTTGTAGTTGCCTGTGGGGCCAGCGTTCTGGGTGGGCAGTGGTTCCCATCAGAAGCTTTGCAGTCAGACCCGGGGGGGACCTGTACTCTGACACTGTCTTTTTGTATCTGCCATCTTCAAATAATTGCCTCATCACAAACATGTGCCCCTCCTAAGGTTGTGTGGTCACCCTCTGCACTCGGACTTTTGGTACTGTGATTCCCCAAAGCATCAAGTTCACTTCCTTTCGTAGTGCATCGTTCCTTCTGCAAGATGGTTCTTGTGCTTTTTGTTAGGTTAACTCTGCAGCCTCCAAGAGGTCTTACGTCCCTGACCCCCATGACTTGACTAGGTGCCCTTTCCATCTACCTGCTCCCTGGGCCACCTTCCATTTAGTCCTGTGGGCAGCGTATGGACATGGCCTAGGCATTGATCTACAGTGCTCCTCCACTGCTATAGCTTGGATCTGGAATGTCTTCTAAAGGTCTCTGTATTAAAGGTTTGGTCCTTAGCTTGGCACAATTGGAAAGAAGTGGAAACTGTTAAGAGGTGGGGCCTAATGGGAGGTTTTAGGTCACTGGGGGTGTGCCCTTGGACTATGGAAAACTGGTCTCTTCCTCTCTGTTTGCTTCCTGGCCACTATGAGGCAAGTAGTTTTCTCCCCAGTTAGCTCCCTGCCATGATGTTTCACCTCACCACAGGCCTGAAAGCAATGGGGCCTACTGCCCATGGATTGAAACCTGGAACTGTGAGCCAAAATCAATCCTTCTTCTTTAGAAGTTGATCATCTTAGGGATTTTGTTACAATAATGGAAAGCTCATCAACACATTCACYGCAATATTGATTGGCACTTTTGGGTTTTGTAAGTACCAGGCCCAGAACTTGGTGCTTCATGTTCACTATCTCATTAAAATCTCTTAACTATCCTATATAAAAAAAGCTTATTTGCACAGATAGGAAACCGAAGCTCAGAGAGGGTCAAGGATTTGCTCAAGGTCCTACAGATACAAGCAGGAAAGCTGGGATTTGAGCCCAGGCAAACCTTTTGTAGTCAATTGCAAATTTCTAAGGGCTCACAAGGTTGAGCATAGTGAAGACCCATAGTAAATATACAACAAATAATAGCTATTATCATTTTGACCTTGTCCAGCTGTAAATCTCTGAATGGAAAAGAACACAACCCTGGCACAAGAAAGTTGAGGTAATGTGTGGTGACCACAAGATGATCTCCTAAAAGCAAAGATTCCGCCTTTGCCTTCGGGAATGATTCCGAGCACCACTGATTCTCAACAAATGACTAATGTGTGTTTTCTGTCACACAATCTTTGTACTGAAGAGATGCTTTGGTCCCTTCCCATTTCTGAGTGAGGAAGGGGTTTGACTTCAGAGGGGGCCAAAGAAATGGCTGGAGTTTCTTTTTGATGAGACACACAGGATGAGAACCATTTAAATAAACGTCCTCTTTATTTTACCAAATATAATTTATCAGTTAAGTTGACATTTGTCAATTCAGTTATAGTAACTATAAATAATTCTCTGAAGACAGTTCTTTAACTTTTGAAGGATACAAGAGTAAACCAATATTGCTCCTTGCAGCCAGGCCAAGGGTACATGCAGTTGGTACAATGGGAGGTGGCGGGACGGGGAGAAATGAAATCTATTGATGTCAACTTCATTTTCCTTCCCTCTCGCCCCATGGTCCTCCTCTGCTCACACACTCAGAGCAGGGGGTGTGCCTGCTTTCTGCTTTCTAGGCAAAGGAGGACTGATTCTCCAGGGACAGCCTGGCTGAACTCCAGAGATGAGGAAGGTATGAGAGGCTGGAGCAGGGGTGACTGGAAATCACAGGGGTACAGCCTCAGGGTTTGGTGCCTGTACAAGAGTCTGTGTGCAAGTGTGTACTGAGGTGGAAGAAAAGATGAAAGGAGGTCAGAGGGAAGAGCAGAAACAGGCCCAGGCTGGTGTTAATGAACTCTGTTGGACACAACTCCAACTAGATAACCTCTATGATTCCTTCCAGTTCTAAGGCTCTATGATTCCAGAAGGTGGCCTGGGAGGAAATGGGAGAGAAAGAATAGTCTCTAGAGGTCTGGGGCAATTTCCCAGGGTAAGGCCTGGTGCTGGTAGAAGCAGGCCTACTGCCTAGCCTTCTTCCCTTGGAGGTGGCCCTTTAGGTTACAGAGGAGAGGGTTTACGGGGAAAAAGCCTGACAGGCCAGAAGAAGTCTGCATCCTCATGCCCAGATTGCACATGTGAGTGTGGACAGCTGTCTGAGCTGTTTGGAGCTATGTGCTGGAAAGAGGCAGAGGCTCTGGATTTCTCTCAAGTTTTTTTTTTTTTTTTTGCTAGGCTGAGAAGCAGAAGAAGCCAATTGGTGTCTGTACTGCTAGTTCTAAATCCTCTTTGGGATGATTAGGGAGGAGAGGGACAAGAAGGGAGAGTGAAGGATGGTAGTTTAGAGATACAAACACTGGTTAAGTAATGGAACTGGTGGCTTGAGGTCTGATCAGCACTGCAGTGTTGGAGTCTAGGAAGAACAAGGCAAGGCCTGGTGTGGTGAAGGAGAAGCAAATGCCTACAATGAGGAAATCTGTCTGCCATACTGAAAGGGACAGGTGACCTATGTAAGCTGGGGAAGGAGGTGAGGTGAGAGCTGTGATTCCCTTACCACTGGCTAGTCAGTGCCTGGCACAGTACCTAACACATAGTAGGCACCCAATAAATACTGCTTAGTACATGTTTCAGACCATACTTGCTGAACAGCTCATCATGGGGAGGCTGAGAATTTGTTGAATGAGTGAATGAATGATTGTGGGCAGGAACCAAGAGAGACTGACCTTCATGACCATGAAAGCATGAGTGATTTTTAGGAAGTAATAGAGGCCAAGGTGACCACATGATTATGTTCTCAGGGGAAACAGCAGCAACCAAACACCCTTGGTTTCCCTCAACCTCCCAGTCATTCTCCACATATCCTTGCTCTGTCCCTATTCTTGGAACTCCGCTTGGCAAGCTCTGGGGAAGGTAGTGCTTAGATATAATTAGAGAGGAGGGCTGAACAGAGATGAAGACTCAGACCTCCAGGCCCAGGGAGGATGTGGATCTTGGGAAACCTATGGGTAGACATAGATCCACAGGGAGACCAGGCTACTGCTTATTACTTCCTGGATGACATTCATCTGGAAAACAATTAGAAGGAGTGTTGGTGATGTTGACCAGGCAGTCAGGCAATAGGCACGTGCACAAATTGAACAGTCAGCCCACCTTCCTCTCTCTGAGAGCAGGAGAGCCTAGGTCCAGAGGGCAGAGAGTAGGGCTGGGATCACAGGGGGCCTGAAGCAGTTGTCTCCTGCCCAGTGCTTTGACGTTGGTCCATTTCTGTGTGTGTGTGTGTGTGTGTGTGTGTGTGTGTGTGTGTGTTCTATCCCTCTGTTCAACCAAAGAAAGAAAGAAAGAAAGAAAAGAAAGAAAGAAAGAAAGAAAGAAAATAACATAACCGGAAAACCAGAACCCACTCACAAAGGTTTTCTCATTAGGGCCACAACTGAGGTTGCTAAAGCTAAGCCATATACCCCCAGATTCCAGACAGAAACCCCCTGCCCCAATCCACCTCACCTGGAGGCACCCACCATGAAAATGCACTTGGTGATTGTCTCAAAAATCTACTTGTACTGCTTATCTCAGTCCATCTGTCCTTCCTGAATTCTTCCTACCCAAACTTGGCTCAATGTATAAAAATTCCCATTGAAAATAATGAGAATTTGGTATCAAAGTGAAGTCCTAGAAAGAGGTGAGAGTGGGGGGTGGGGTGGGGAGAGGAAAACAAAAGAAAAAATTCAAACAGGAAGTGCAGAGGGAAAAGGCTGAGTGGCCAAGTTAGTCCCCAACATCTGTGTCTCGGTCCCCAATGAGCCAGAGGACATGGAAGCTGAGTGCCAGGAGCCCAGTGCCAAGCAGGTCCCCCAGAGCAGTCAAGTACGGTATGGAGAAATTGTCCGGGTCCAGGCCCCGGCCCCACATCCAGTGCACCATCCAGTCTGCGATGTACAGGAGAATCAGCACCTGGAGAGACAGAAGGTCCTGCTTGTAGCCATCCCCTCTCCAGGGGGAGCCAGAGGCCACACAATTGGACCCATTCAGTGTATCACGAGGCTTGGCCAGCCACAAGGGCTAGGCTGGGACAGTGCATTTCCCACTGTGGCAACCTCTCTGTGTTCCTTCACCCTCAATTACCAAGAGGCGAGATGACAGCCTTTTAGAAGGTAAGATGCTGCTATAGCCGGCATCGGCATTACGTTCGGCTCCCCAAATTTGCCAAACTAGGGGCTTCCTAACCTGAGTCCTTCCCCACACAGGAATTTAGCCCTCTTGCCTCTAATTCTGGGTCAGCCCATTCTTGGGTCACTCCAGTCCTTGCCAGGTTGGCCTCTCCAGGCGCCTGGCAGGAAGCTGGCAGTGGAGTGAGCTTTTCCTGCAGGGCTTTCTCCTCTGGGCAGAGTGGCATAAGGATAGCATTTGAGGCCACTGTAGGTATGTTTGTCTGAGTAACAGTTGATCATCCCAAGTTGGCTTTCTCCTGACCCTTCCCCTTCTGCTGTTGTGGGCTCAAAGAATGCAAGTTTACTTTAACATTAGTTTTAGCAAAATAGAACTGTGGATAAGATGGCTAAACATAAAGCAGATGATGCACTGCAATTCAAAATGCTGTGTATTATCTGCTGCTTTGATTTATCGGTGCCTTTACTTACCTTCTATTACTACATATAATTAAGAATGATCAAGATCAGAATCATGCTAGTAGGCCCTGAATAAGAATCTGCATTTTTTTTTTTTTTTGGTACCAGGGATCGAACTCAGGGGCACTCAACCATTGAGCCACATTTCCAGCCTTATTTTGTATTTTATTTAGAGACAGGGTCTCACTGAGTTGCTTTGGCTGAGGCTGGCTTTGAACTCGAGATCCTACCATTTCAGCCTCCCAAACTGAGATTACAGGAGTGTACCATGGTGCTGGCTGAGAATCTGCATTTTAATGAGATTCACTCACACTTTAAAATGCACTTGGGGGGGGGGTTGTGGCTCAACAGTAGAGCGAGACCCTGGGTTTGATCCTCAGCACCACATAAAAATAAATAAGTGATATAAAGGTATTGTGTCCAACTACAACTAAAAAAAAAATATTAAAAAAAATGCACTTCAGTCTAGAATACTGTGGTGGGGCAGGCTGCACCTGCACAGTGCTTGACATGTGGGTTCCTTAAATGACTGTGTTGATGTGAGAATGGAATGATGTCAGATCGTTAACCCTGACAGTCATCTGAGAGGTTTCACTCTCAACTATACTTTGCAAATACTGTGGTATGAAAATTTTGCCCTAAGAGACTCAGATGCAGGACCAGAGCCCTTAATGAAGGCAGAAGCTAGAGCTGTTACCTATTTTTAGGCAAACTTGGTTGCTCTCTTGTCCTCTGTCAAGGAAGCTAGGGGTGACAGTTCTAGTACCCTTCACGTTCTCCCTTAACTGCACACAGGTGCCTTGCTCTATGGCCCTGGGTGAGATCCAGAACCCATGACTTCACACCCTTTCCAGCAGCTGCAGAAAAGTCCCAAATAAAGAACGCAGCCAGGGGGCCCTTGCGACATGCTCCAGGATGGGAATGGCAGCAGCTGTCCTCACTTCTAGCCTTCAGGCAGTCCCAGGACACACACTGGGAGGAGGCCGCAAAAGGATCAGGGAGAACTTTACAGGGGATTAAGTGTCATATTCTGTCCCTCCACAGATCTAGAGAAAAGAGCAGAGGTGAGAGTGGCTCCAGGGCTTCACCTTCCAATCTCAGCCAAGGAATGAAGTGAAAACCTCCACTGCAGACCCTCAGCATAACCACCCACCCCTCCTTTTCCCATTAGGGGTTTTATGCGACCCCACTCGCAAGGGAGCATGGCAACTTGAATAACTCCTGCTGGGAAACAGCATATGGTTGTTTCTAAGCCTAGCCCATGCTAAGATTCCTAACACAGCCTTTCTAAAGTTGGGGGTGGGGAGGTTTGGTAAAAGGGGACCTACTACATAGAAAGTGTCACAGTATTATGGAATGGCAGGGTAGATGGGCTCCTATAGATGGACTACCCAGTGCAATGGTTTTGTCGCTTTTTCAAGCTGAAGCCCAGCATGCAAAACAGAGGGATCTTCAAGTGGAACTCTGTGGTTAGGCTAGTGATGGTGGTAGCAAAGCACACTTGCTGAGCACCCCTTCCTCTCAATTTGCAAATGTGGGGGCTGGGGTTGTAGCTCCGAGGTAGTGCATTTGCCTAGCAGTGTGAGGCACTGGGTTCGATCCTCAATACCACATAAAAAAATAAAATACAGGTATATGTCCATCTACAAATAAAAAATAATAAATCAATTTTTAAAAAATGTACATTGCTGAGGCTCAGAGAGGTAAAATCACTAGGTCAAAGTCATGCAGCATGTTAGTGATTCTGCTGGAAACAATGTCTATTCTTCTGAACTCTGTTCAGTATTTATCAGCTACCCAGAGCCAGAGAAGGAGGTGTCTGATGGGCCCAAACTGGGCCACCTTTTCTATCCAGGAAGGGAGTAGCCTTGGCCTTTCCCTGTACTCCTGCTCTTGCTGGGCCATACCTGGAGCAGTGCAGCTGTCATGTAGAAGATGATGAAGATGAGTGTGAGGGTGGTATGCCCGCCCTGCATACAGCTGATGGTATAGAGGAACACCAGGTGTCCTGGGACCACAAGGAGGAAGAGGACCCGGGCTGAGCGGGAATTCACATCTGTAACCAGAGAAGAGCGGGCATGAGGTTGGTGGGGAGAAAATTTCTGGTCCCAGGCCACRGTCAGGAGGACCCTCACCACTCCCAGGCTGCAGACAGCTGACTGTCTCTATTTCTCCACCCTGTGGTCCCCAGTCCCTAGGATGTCCCAGGAAAGATAACCTTCTGGCCTGGGCTCTGCCCTCCAGAACAGAGGGCAGTTTAGCAAAGGAGAATCCTGGACCTGGGCCTCCCCAGCTTAAGCAAACTACATGATTATAAACCCCTCGCCCCCCAAAAAACTCYAAGGCTGGAATGGGACCAGCAGACTACGAATCTGCTGTTACCAGGACTGAAGAAGGTGGTACAAGGGCTGGGGCAGCGGCGAGGAGCTTGCTCAGAGTTCTCCCCTGGCATCCCATTCATGTGGAGGAAGGTGGAGATGCGGCTGGCCTGCACTGCCACCAGATTGCCCCCAACACCTGAGGGAACACACAGGACTTAGGCTCAGGGTGGTGGGGAGAAACAACCTTCTTACTTTTTGTGTCCATCTGTAGAGGCCTCAGTAGGCACTTCCCAGTCCCTAGTCCTCAAGAGAAGAATACACCCCTGGTTCCAGTGATCTTCTAGGTTCCTCCCTGCTATGGCAATGTGGTGGTCCCAAGGGACCCCAGTGTGACTATGAGAGCAATGGCAAGGAAACAGGCAGATCTGCAGACTCAGAGCCTGATGTTTCACCAGGACAGTGAGCACCTGCCTGCCCACATAGCACAGGGGACAAGTCCTGCCTCACCTTGTATGCTCTAATGCTCCGAGCAAACCCGGGCACCTGGTGTTTATGCTTGGATTCCTTTCGGTAATCAGTTTCAAGTAGTGTTTTGAGCTTCAAACTCAAATCTGGTGCTTTTCCCAGGATCTGTGCTGGTTGCTTTGTTTGCCTTCACATTCTGACCTAGTCTTGCTCTTTTCAGCCTTGCCCTGAGTCCTGAATGGCAGATTTATAGGCAGTCCCAGGACACATGGCTGGGAGGAGGTGGCAAAGGGATCCCCTGGCCATCTTTGCTGGCTGCTTCCACCTGGGTTTGTGCAGTGGGAGGTATCAGCAGGTGAACAGATGGTGGGGTAAAGAGGGGTCAGGTATTTCTTTCTGGATCCCTCTCTGCTTTCTGACAGTGGCTTGTCCATGTTGATGGGCTCCTGCAATACGATTCTCTAGTCTCCGTGGCCTTCAGGCCTGAAGGCTCTCCCTTTGTTGCTAGTCTCTGGGTACCTCAATATCCCTTTTGGGTCCTTTTACCCTGCCCCTACCTTGTGAGAAGTCTCTTCAATATAGTCTTAAACTCTGAGCTGGATTCTCTTGCCTGCTGTAACTTGGACTAAAACAGAAATCCACCCCCTACCTGTCCCCCACTGTCCCTCTCCTTCCCCTGTCCCTCTCCTTCCCCTTGATAGCTGATACTCAAACCTCACCATTGATTACAGGTGTGAAGACAGCCATCCCTGCAAAGTTGGGGTCTGAGACCGTCTTGTCCAAGATGAGGCCTCCCACACTAGAGATACAAAGACAAAATGACATCAAGACCACTGAAGAGTTCTTCCCTGGTCTCTGGGATGAAAGGAACAGACCCACCTAGCCTTGGAAACAAAGGAAAGCATGATAGCTCCTCATCTTTTAGTTCTCGCCTCCCTTGCCAGAACCAGCTGCTGCTCAGAACACCCTGACTTGGCACAGTGAGCCCAGAACAAGCTGATGGTGCCAGGTCAGGCAGCCACTTCCTGAACCCATCCCCCAAGCTGGTTTGAGGAGCCACCTGCAGGGTTGCCTGCCTGTGAGGATCCCTTCATTCTGCCTGCTTGGCATTCATTTTCCTTTCTGGTAACAGCACTAGGCTCCTCCTCAGGGAACCACCTTCTCAAATTCAGGCACTGTGGTCCAGATGACACTGTGTCAATGATAGCTCAGCTCCTGACCACCCATTGGTTCAGGGATAGTCACGTGACCAGGTGAGACCCAATGAAACTCTATCCTAGGACTTTGCGCAACTGTTGGGGTAAAGAATCTCTCTTCCTGCTGGACTTGGGAGGGGTTAGCAAAGTGTAAACCTGGGCTGTAAGCCATCACTGGGAAGAGCAGAGCCAAGAGACAGACTCTCCTGGGGCCCTGATGACATCATATGTGCCCATGAATCCAGTGGTGCTTTTTCAGTTTCCTTGGTCAAAACACCCTACTTTGGAATGAAACCCAGTTCAGGTGGTGCCGGTCTGCTGCACTGGAAAAATGTGAGACTGATGTACTATTGAATGCATTTCTGGAGTCCTCCCTAGACCCTTCTCTCCAGGGGTTTCAATGGAGTCTACTGTAGGGTGTAGGTGGGAACTCAGGGCCTGAGCCTACCTGCTGATGGCCATGGCAATGATGACAGGCTCCCAGCCTGAGTACAACACCTCTCTTGTAGCTGGGCTCCGTCGGGCCAGCACCACCCAGACAGGCAACAGGGCCACAAAGAAGGCACACACCAGGGGGTAGATGTATCTCCAGTGATCTGAGAGGGCAGAAATCAGAGGGAGATGAGCACTGTGGCTCCCTACTCCCTGCCCCCACCCAGGCTCAACCTGCATATGTTCCAACAGACCAACAGATCACCAGCAATAATACACTGAACACCTGTACAACCTCATTTAGTCTTCACTGTCAGCCCAAGAGGTCAGCAGCACCAGCCTTGTTCATTTTGTAGATGAGGAAACCAAGGTAGTGAGCTACCCTGATACTGAACTTACTAGAGGCAGAGATCAGACTCCAGGCCTCTAGATCTCAGAGGTTATTATCTCCTATTCACTTCTTCAGCTCGCAAGATGCCAGCTTTCAGTTCCTTCCTTTATCCTTTCTGCTTTATCCCTCTAAGGGAAACAAGATCCACAGGACCAAGCAGGAATATATTTCTGATACTTTATCTCCTGTCTCTGCTGCCTGCATGAATTTGAATCTGTTCAAACCAAGCAGTTAAGAATATATGACCACATCTCCCAATCCCACCCGAGAGTCCACCTGAGCCACTCTCGGTGGCCTCAGCCTCACTCAGTTCCAGGTAGAGTCCCCAGCTGATGCCTGAGAGCAGTGCCAAGGTGATGAGATCGCCCAGGCTGGCAGCAATGGGTGTGGCCACGTTGTCTGGGTTGATCCCAATCTTGCGAGAGCCAATGATGACTCCAATCATGATCATACCTGGAGAGGAGGGGGAGGCGGGCCAGGCAGGGTGAGTGGAAATAAAGGGGTACTAAGAAAGGAAAAGAGAGAGTGGAGGTGCCAGGCATAGTCAACAACTCTGGGGCAGCCTTCCTTACTCCTGCACTCCCTTCCCTTCCTTACCCAGCACCAGAGAGGCAATGAAGGCTGTGGCTACACTGCTGGCACACAGCAGGAAGGCATGTGGGATGCTAAAGTGGCCATCAGGGATCCAGCCAAACACGACGGCTGCGATGGATGCCAGGAAGCCCACCACCGTGGCCTGCACCTGAGGAGAGGAGTGGGCAGAGGTTGCTTAGCTGAGGGCCACTGAGCACTCAGCAGACTCTTCCTGGCCCTAGGCAGTCCCAGGAGGCAGCCTGGACTGGATTGTCCAGTCCTCCCATGCTGGAAGGATGTCTTTATTTATTTAGTTTCACACCAGACACTAGGACTGGGCAGTGCACCCTGCGGGAGCCCAGGACATGTTACTGGCTGAATGAGTGTTCCTCTGGGAACGGGGGCAGAGATCAATAAACCAAAGACTTCAGCCAGAGTCAAGACCTGGGATTCAAGGGGAAAGATGTCCAGTCTGGAATCCGCGTGGCCTCCTGGGGAGATGGGACAACAGTGGCAGCGGACACTTTAGCACTCCTGAGACTGCTCCTACTTAAAGGCCCCTACTCCACCTGAATGGGAGATGCCATGGCTCTCCCCATCTTGGTCATTTTCCTGCTTAGCTCTGAGAGTTACTTTGCAGGGTGCTAGAGATTCACTCAGAAGCCAGCTGGGCCTGACCTAAGTCTTTTAGAGACTTATGATTAAGGGGGAAGCTTAGCTCATTGGCTTCTATGCTGACTCTCTTACCTGGATGAGGGCCATGTTTCCAGTGATCATCCTCCAGAGCTCCTTGGGTGTATCCATTTGTCCAATGTTGGCCTGGGAGAAGGAGGATGAAGGGCTGAAGCTTCAGGCTTGAAAAGGCCTGGGGCTCCATGTGTTAGACCCCTGATCCAATCAAGAGGCAGTGCATGTGGCCTAAGACTCTGGGGCTAGGACATGAACGTCCTAGAAAGCGAAGCAAAGGTGGATGCAGTGGCACACACCTATAATCCCAGCTACTAGGCAGGGTGAGGCAAGAGAATTACAAATTAAAGGCCAGTCTGGGCAACCTTGACCCTTTCTCAAAATAAAATTTTAAAAGGGGTGGGGTGTAGTTCAGTGGCAAAGTGCTTGCCTAGGAAGTGTGAAGACCTGTGTTCAACTCCTAGTATTGCAAAAACAAAACAAGCCAGGCACTGTGGCACATGCCTGTAATCCCAGCAGCTGGGGGAGCTGAGACAGGAGGATTTCAAGTTCAAAGCCAGCCTCAGCAAAAAGTGAGGTGCTAAGCAACTCAGTGAGACCCTAAATAAAATACAAAATAGGGCTGGGGATATGGCTTAGCGGTCGAGTGCCCCTGAGTTCAATTGCTGGTTCCAAAAAAACCAAAAAGAGCCCCCCCCCCCAGCTTAGAGGGTTGGGAAGGGGGCTCCAGAGGCAGCTGCATCTCTTTCTTACTCCCAGGACATGTGAGTGGCTGGCGTAGGACTGGGGCTGCAAGTGTTTGGGAAGGACTGGGTAGCATGGGCCAGGAGCAGGGTAGACAATGTTGGATGGGTTATGTTGGTGCCCCCTTCTCTCTGCCACCTTCTCCAGATTCTTGGCCATGCAGGGACTCAGTGGCCACCTGAGTTTTATAGTCACCCACTCTGTGGCCCTGTATCTGGCTCGTCCCTGAATGGTCACAGCTGGTCTAAGGGATTATGGGAGGTGGAAGTGATGAGCAGTTTCTCCCTGACTATTTCCTTAAAGAACAAGATGCCTGGGGGAAAGGGAATGGGCTGGGAGGGGGGCTGGGAGGGCCTGGCTCTGCTCCTGCCCAGCTGCAGAGCAGGGCTGGAGATCAGAGGCGGCCCCCACCTGTGCGGGTTGAGAAACCAGCATGGTGCCCGCCTGTCAAAGCTGTACAAACAGTCACGAGGCAGGTTGCGAAGCAGGGGTTGGGGCAGGCATCCAGGGATGGCTGGGACATCCAGAAACCAAGCCTGGGAACCACCCATCCTGGGATCTCCCTACACCTGCCCAGGCCCTCCCTTCCCGCCCTAGTCTATGCTTCAGGAAGGCAGAGTGGCCCTCTCCCAGTCTCTGGCTCTGTGTTGGCCAGAATCTTCTCCTCCCAGCCAGGATACTCACTGCAGTGGACAGCCTCGATGCCAGGGTCATTTCCAGATTCCCCTTGAGCCCCAGCAGCGCAGGCACCAGGATGAAGACCTCCGTCACCTTCTGGAAGACCTCCCAGTGCTATGAGGTGAAAACAGAGCTCAGGAATTTCAGCGTCCCAAAGGACTGGCATTGAGGCTGAGCAGATGGTTGGGATCAGGGTCTTGGGAAGGAAATGGGGTGAGCAGGGTGACAGCACCAAGCACCTTCCCTCCAAGAACCTGGAAGCAAAGCAAGCTTCCTAATAACATAATCCCCATCCTGTCCCCAGATTGGGGTGACCCCTGGCRTGGCTCTACTTCCTCTGCAGCCAAGGGGAAAAGGTGGTGGGGACCCACATGGCTGAGCCACCTCAAGCTGGCTTACACCCCAGAACTCCTTTGAGATCCCCGCTCCAATTGCGCGTCCAGCCCTTTGCCTTTAGTCTAGTTTCTCCCTGGCCTCAGCCTTGGGCGGTGTTGTCTCAGCTGTGGAAAGCTGGGCTCCATGGGGCTGGGAAGATTAGAGCGTTTGTTTGGTTTCTATCTCCAAGGGCTCTGGGCCTCAGCCATGGCGACGCTCCTGAGCAGGCTCTGAATTCAGACTGTGCGGCTCTAAATGCTGGTCATCTAGGGGCTTTCTTACACCTCTGCACTCCCTCAGCCCTCGTCCCCTCCTTGGCCTTAATGGGCAATGTGGTTTCCTTTATTTATTTTTAGAGTGGAAAGCCTCCAGTTTTGGAGAGAGAGGAGCTGGTGGGCGGTAGGTGGCCGAGTGGATGTGTGCAGGTTGGTATGAGCGTCGTGGCCTAGAGGTGAAGTGCTGTAATGGGTGAGGGCACTGGTTGAGAGCCTGGGGTCTTCTACAGGAGACCCAGGGAGGGACCTCATGCTAGCTCCCCTCACATAGACCAGCTGGGGATCTCAGCTGGGGACCTCAAACTCCTGACTAAAACGCTCAATTCAGGAACCAGATTAGATGGTCTCTAGGGCAATTCTAGCACCATGACTTTATCGTTAAATATGAGCAAAGCTGCAAGTCACAACCACAGTGAGATATGGAGATACCACCCCACACCCACTAGGATGGCTACTATGAAAGCAAGCAAGCGAACAAACAGAAAATAATGAGTGTTGGCAAGATGTGGAGATTGGAATCCTTGTGCACTGTTGGTGGGATTGCAAAATGTTTCACAAAAYGGGGGTGGGGAGGTGGCACCATGGTTCTTGCCTGTAATCCCAACTACTCTGGAGGCTAAGGCAAGAAGATCACAAGTTCAAGGTCAGCTGGCAATTTAGTGAAATCCTATCTCAAAAAAAAAATTATAAAGGGCTGTGGATAGAGTTCCGTGGTACAGTGTCCCTGGGTTCAATCCCCAATGCTGGAAAAAAAAAAAATTGAAAGCAGGATATTGAGATATTGATACATCCATCCATGTTCATAGCAGAATTATTCACAATAGCCAAGATATGGATGCATTCAAGTGTCTGTCAACAGATGAATGGATCAACAAAATGCAGTACACACACACTATGGAATACTACTCAGACTTAAAAATGGAAGAAAATCCTGTCAGATGCTACTTTGTGGATGAATCTTAAGGACATTATACCAACCAAGTCAACTGCACAAAGACAAACATTATATGATTCCACTTATATGTGGTATCTGAAGTAGTCAAATTCATTAAAAGGAAAAGCAGAAAGCGGGTTGCCTAAGGCTGTGGGTGGGGGAGGAATTAGTGTTAAATGGATAAAGTTTCAGCTAGGAAAGATGAACATTCTGGAGATTTGTTGCACTCCAAACACTGTGAATACACTTAATACACTTCAAAATGGTTAAATCAGTAAATTTTATGTGTTTATATATATATATATTTTAGTTGTAGGTGGACACAATACCTTTATTTTATTTTTATGTGTGCTAAGGATATAACTCAGTGCCTCATGCGTGGTAGTCAAGCGACCTACCACTGAGACACAACCCCAGCCCTCATGTGTTTTTTTTCTTAACCACAATAATAAAAAAATTTTAAAAATGAGTTAAGACTATCAGAGGGGGCTGGGGGCAGGGAAAGGGACTAGAGGAGGCTGGACACTGGGCAGTCCCATAATGCAAAGAGCTCTCTTTTCTTTTTGGGACCTCTTTTTTCTCATCACAGTTCAGTGTGCGGATGTTGGGGGCCATAACAGGAACCTGGGGAAGGGCTCATGTCATCCGCGTCAGAGCACACACTTGTCTTGTAGACCCTAGGATTCTTCTTATAGTCTGAAAGGACCCAGGACTCTYCTCAGGGAAGCCCCTCTCTGAGGATGACGGAGGTGGAGGAAGCACCTCCCACCTCAACAGCAGCTCCTGAGCTTCCAGGCAGCCCCTTGAAGAGGTGGTCCCTTCCAAACACTGCAAGGATGTGAATCCCTTCTCACCTCAGAGGCAGCCCCAGTGAGCCCCATCAGCCTGAAGGAGCTCAGGGACTGTTACTCTTGGACATGGCCGGTGCACACCACTGGGGTCCCAGCTCCCTGTAGTCCTGACCTCATTTAGTTTTACTGGCTCCTTCTTCCCAAACTGGACAACAGTTCCAGAAGGGGGAAGGGTTCACCTCCTTGCCCCTCCCCTGACGAGGGTGCTGACTGCGAGCTTTCAAAGCACAGCCTCATCTCGTATCCTTGCCCCCAAACATCTGCCCCGTCTGCTTCCACGATGCCAGCTCCATGCACAGCTGAGCTTCCCAGTTAGGTGGGTGCAGTGGGTATGGGCTGGCGGGGTAAAAAGCCTGGGGGGAGATACTTCAGGTGTATGCAAGTTGTATTTTCTGAATTGTTTGTAAGAAATTATTACTGGTCTTTATTTTTTAAAATATATTTTTAGTTGTAGATGGACACAATACCTTTATTTTACTTATTTTTATGTGGTGCTGAGGATCGAACCCAGTGCTTCCCACGTTAGGCAAGCACTCTATCACTGAGCTACACTTCCAGCCCCTACTTGCCTTATTTTAAGAAAAGAAATGTGTACAGTTCAGTGAAGCCTTTCTGGTTACCATTCTAAGCATCCCCAAATCTTTTCACTTCCTGGCAAACATGTACCCTTTTTTTAAATTACAGAAACATCTAGAAGGAATGGGGTTTTAGGAGGGATAGGCTGAGACATGTAAGGAGAACAAGCAGCCACAGGAATAGCCCCTATGAAGCAGCCTGGAACTCACTACCTGACCCCTGGCCCAGCAAAGTTGGCACTTGGGTCAGAACAGTCACATACATTCTTCACCCACAAAACCCTCTCAAAGATGCAGTTCAGACAGGGAGGCTGTGACATGTAGGCATGTGCAGGGCTCTGGGAAGAGTGGCTGAGAGGCTGGTGATGTGGAACCAGCCTAGGAAGCAGGGTGTCCTGGGGTTAGGAGTGGGTAGGATGTGGCAGGGACAGACAGTGAGTAGCTCTTCTTCCTCCTTTGGCCTAATTCAGGCCCTTCCTGTTCATTCTGGCTGGGAGTGTGTMTGCCCCTGAAGTCAAAGCAGTTAGCCAAGTTGCCACCTACACTTTCCTGCTCTGCTGGGGATGAAAAAGGGTCCAGGAAGCTCTGCTCTGGCTTAGGGGCAGGGGGAGCATCTATGGATTTTCACTGCTTTTCAGAAGCACAGCCCCCTTCCCTTCTCTCTCTCCTTGGTATGGAAGGCTCATCACTCCTTGATGTTTTAGAAGTGGAGGATGAGACTGTTCTTCCCACACTCAAAACTAATCCTGATTCTGAGCAATCACCCTAAGTCCTGAACCTCAGTGGCCCTGCCAGTACCTCTTCCTTATACATCAAACCTGCCTCTTCTGCCCCTCCAGGCTCACACATCCACCCCCAGCTGTCTTCAAGCTTTCTGGCCTGAGTCTTCTGCTCCAGGAGGGTAGCAGCAAGGAGGAAAGTCCGAGCCAGGAAGAGATGRAATTCAGACATTAAGAAGACTTGAATTCTTAGATTCAAGCTCTAGGCGCCAGGCTGCACAAGAACCTGAGAGATTTGAGCTGTAGYTGACCTTTCAAGGTGAGGCCTGGGTTCGGGGTCAAATTATAGTATCCCTGCCTCCATAGGTCTGAAACGTGTCCCAGAGGCATCCTTGAGGTGTCTGAACAGAAGGGACTCAGGGTAACACCCAGGCAAACAGTATGTTCAAATGTGAGAAAAGCAAATGGGGGTCCCCAAAACAGGCAAATGCAGAGGGTGGTCAAGGAAGACGGGATCTGAGTGTCCTGCCCAGGAACAGTGGCAGCCATGAGGCCAGCTGCCGGAGAACTGCTCCCCACTCTTCCCTGAGGCTACACAGCCATCCATTCTCATCTCTGTAGACTCTTTGGTAGACACAGAGGAGAAGATATTGGGGCAGGTGTCTATCTACTTTTCTTGGGATCCTTTGCAAAAAGAGGAGTTAAAATAAGGTCCTGGGAGTTCCCCATCCTAACCTAGCTGAAAATCCTAGTGGAGGTTGCACACCACCTCCTGCCATCTCCATCCCCACAAAGGCTGACAGGAAAAGGGAGTGGGATGTGCCGCAGCAGCCTAGGACCAAACTTGGGGGAGGACYATAAAGCACTGGCAGCCTGAAGTTTCCCTATATAATCCCCTTCTGAAGCCAACACTGGGCCCAAGTCTGCTTCCCTTCCAAACGCTGCAGGAATTTCTGGYTACAGTGGTCAAGCTGGAGGGAACTGCAGTCCACTTAACCTTTTTCTACTCTGGCTGGTACATGAGCTCCACATTCACTGCAGAGGCTGCTTCGCACACACAGAGCAGACCAGAGGGTCAGTAAGAGGAGGCCTTCCAGGAAGAGACTGGGTCTTCAGYAGCACGGGGGACCCTGGACCAAGGAGGCATGTGAACCAGGGCCCACACAGACTTCTATCTGTTGCTCTGTGACTTTGGGATCCTCTATAGCCACCTCCTCCAGATGGGTCTCTTAGATACTTTCAGGCTGTCTCAATGACAGCCATCTTAGTGTATGAAGGGGGAACACAGGTGTGAATTCTTAGAAATCATTCTGTGTCTGAGATCTTCAGTCTCCCCTTTTGTTCCCCTGGAAGTGGAATAAGAATCTTCCTATAGTCCCATGCCCTGACCTTATGCACTCACCCCCTCCTGTGATCTTGTAGCAGTCATCTGCAGGGCCTGCTCCAGCTCAGCTGTAGTGGGAAGCTGGGGGAGGGGGACAAGGACAAACCAGCCATTGTCATCCACACCAACTGGACCCTCTGGGGTGAGGTATGTGAAACGCTACTCTGAGGGCAAATGGTGGCCCTCTGGGGGCACATCAGGCAGCATTAAAGGCCTCTCAATGTCTCAGGCTGACAGGTGTAAGGCCAGATTCAGAGGCTCTAGAATCCTCTGCTGTGTAGTGTAGGATAGGGGGTCGATGGATCCCTTCCTCCCCCTAAGAACTTTTGTTCTTGTTCCCTTCAGAAGCTAGCTCCATTGTTCCAGATTCCAATAACTTTGTTCTTCAGGGGAAGATAAAGACTGCAGGCTTAACTGACTGGCAAACCACGGCCATGCTGAAGGTCTCAGATGTTAGTGACACAGGTTCTGGGGACAGATGACCAATGGTAGTTACCTAATCATTTTAAGCCATAGTTTTTCTATCTATAAAATAGAGGTGATTATGATTTCTACCTTATGGGACTATAGAAAAGTCCCCCAAATGCTTTACTGTAATTATCCAGAAAATAAAACAACCTTCTGAGTTCACCATCGGATCCTGATTCGCCAYGCCCCCCTTTTCTTTCTTTTTGTGGTGCTGGGGATCAAACTTGGGGCCTTCTGCATGCTAGGCCAGCACTTCCAGTCTCATACCCCTTATACAGACACCAACTAGCCCCAAAACTGAAAGAATGAGACCAAGGCCATAGGAAAGGGATGGAAATGGTGGAGAGACTCAGTGCTAGCTCATTTCTTCTCTTTCTCCTTCCCTTCCTCGATGCCCTAGGAGTGCCTATTGGGGATGTCCCAACAGGCACTAGCTGCCTAACTTCCATGTAGAAACTATTCTCATGAAAACAGGTTTGGGGAGAGGGGAGGCAGTATGGGGCATTTTGACACAAACACCATTCTCAATAATAACCAAATGTTCAGGGTTCTCCTGAAGGGCTCAAGGGCTATGTGGACAGTACTGGAGGAATCACCTAGAACAACCACATTCAGTACCCTGGGACATAGGGTGAACTCTACCAGCAGTCACTGCATCACTACATGCATGGTTTGTAGTACTGACTTGGCATGGGGAAGTGATGCTGAGCTTTGTGTTCCTCTGGGAGTATGTCAGGAAATACTGGGCAGGTGGGTGGGTGGGGACCTTGGTGGGGATGTCCCAACAGGCACAGGCCTGATCTCCTCCTGCTTCCTTATTTTGAGTACCTAGGACAGAGCCCAGAACTTGGCAGGAACTTGAAACACACTGTTGATTGAATTAGATAAACCTAGCACCTGCAGGGCATGGTGGCTCACACCTGTAATCCCAGTGACTCAGGAGGCTGAGGCAGGAGAATCACAAATTTGAGGTTGGTCTCAGCAATTTAGTGAGGCCCTGAGCAACTTATTGAGACTGTCCCCAAATAAAAAATTAAAAGGGTACCTTCATACTGTGCTTCAAAAACTTTTAGCCAGAAATGCAACTTTATCTCTCTGACCTAGGGTTTTAGGGTAAGTCCCAATTCACAATGAGCTAAGCAGTCACCGGCTCTCAGCTTCCAGGTCTTGCCAACTTTTATGCTTCKTTCTACCCAATACCCTCATAAATAGCCCTCTTTGCCCAGGGCAGGTTCATGACAGCAAGGTGAGGAGCAAAGAGGAGAGACAGTTCTGCCCAGGCCTGGTTACACTGTGTTCCAATTTACAGCACATAATTAGCTCTTTTAGGTCTTATTATGCCAACGCCCCAAATCGTGCATACAGCGCATGTGCCCATCCCCATTCCCCAAGGAGACTCTGCCAAGGTTGCAGGAAGATAAGCAACACAAATGCCTTTAAGAGCTTTTTCACTTCATCTGAGACCCTCTTGGCAGCTGAATAAATTCCTGCCCAGCAGGGGAATAAAGGAGAGACTTGAAACCGAGCTTTCTACCCTGGGTATCCTTGAAACCTCAAGTGAAGGGGAAAGAAGGCACAAGGAGGAGACCCAGCTAGATGTCTCCTACTGAGCTGGGTTTGGCAGGAAGGCTCAGGAAGCAGCCCTGTCTGTCCTCTCTTCCCTCCCCAAGCCTGAGCTCTGGACTTAAATCTGTTACCGTTAAGCAATACTACCCTACTCAGCTTCTGTAGAAAGTAATGAGACCAAGAAGAAACTGAGGATGTGATCCAAAGGGAAACAGTATTCTAGGAAGCAGCAGATGCTTCTGACAGGGAGGCAGAGAGGAAGTTCCAAGAGTTGTAGTTTCCCAAGGAGTCACCCTGCTCAGGCCTTACCTGCACAATGTCCAGCACCATGCCAGCAGCCACAGTCCCGAAGCCTGCCAGGAGGAAGGGGAACAGCACTTGCAGCCCGATGGAAAAGGAGGTCTCCTTGAGTGGGGAGGGTGGTGCAGGGCCACGGTCCGTGCTGACGTCGTCACTTTCATTGCTTTGGCTGCCGTTCTCCAACAGGGCGTCCTCTTCCCGAATCCCCTTGGCATTGGCACGAGACTCAATCACCACCACCTCCACCCCAGCCCCATCAGGCCCCAGGAACTCTGAGGTCCCGGCCAAGGGCTCTCGCCCGGGGCCATCTGAAGAGCAGGGAGAGGGAGTGGGGCCAGTCCCATTCAGTTGGTGGACGTCCTTCGGCTCCGGCTTAGAGGACATGACGGGCAGGGAGGAGAGGAGGGGAGAACTTTCTTCTTTTTTTTTTTTTTCTGCTTTTCTCTCCCTAACTCAGGAAAGATCTTAGTCTTGGGGGGAACCGAGGCTTGGGTGCCGCGGGTCCTCTTCCCACGGCTCTCTGCTGCTACCAGGCACTGCAAAAACTGATCCACCAACAGGCAGCCCCATGAAGCACTGGAGCCGGGTTCTGGAGGGGAGCAAGAAACTCCTCACCAGGCTCAGCAGCCCACCACTAGGGGTGCAGATGCCTGCCTCCAGCCAACGGGCCTCTTGCCTGGGGGAAGTCTGTCTGACCTCTTATCTTCTTTGGTTCTCAGCGGCAAGCTCCTCAGGGAAGGGGGCATCCAGAGAAGGACCCAGCCCAAGGCTGCAGTGCCTCTGGAGGCAGCCCCTCTCTCGTAAAAAGTAGACCAAGTTCAGATCTTTCAGAACACAGCCTCCACCTGGGGCTGGGACTCCTTCCTGCTCCTCCTGCTCGGTGCCTTCGGCTTCCCACAGCACCTCAGGCTCCGGTGGTCCCAGGGCAGTGTCTGCTGTCTTTCCCCTCTCTTCCAGAGATTTCCTCCCTTCCTGGGAAGACTTTGTGTCTCCCCAATTGCCTGGTCCTTAAAGTCACGAGAATCTGTATGGAACACCTTATGTGGGAAGAAGAAGAGAAAAAAAAGAAGAGAGAGAGAGAGAGAGAGAGAGAGAGAGAGAGAGAGAGAGAGAGAGAGAATGGGAATATGTTATGATACAGGAGAGAACAGCGCATACTGGCAGAATTCTCCCCCAAGGCAGTTAACAGTTTGTTATATAGAGTTTGCTATTTGCCTTTCTCTTTCCACTAAAATTACTTGGTCCTGCTCAGTTACATCCAGAGGCCCAGCAGGTGCTACTCCCACCGTCCTCCCAACCACTCACCCAGTGCCTCAGGAAGACTGTGTGGAAGACCTAGTCTTCTCAGCAGCCTGGGGTGGGCAGGGGTGTCCTCAGGGAGATCCCTTTTGAATTCCAGTAAGATTCAGGATTATTTAAGTGTGATCTCTCTCTCCATGGGAAAATTGCAAATTCAGTTGTAAACTTCCTACACAGACACCCCGCTACAGAAGGTTACTGTTTACCATCACAAGACAGCAACGGTAAGACAGGACACTGATCAGAGTAAAGCCTTCAGACCACCAAATGCTACAGTCCCTAAGGGGAAAAAACACAACGAAACTGGGAGGACTCCCTGGGCAGTGGGGCAAGCCTGCCAAACCAAGGCCAACAGCCAGAGGCCTACCCACTCCTGCCCTTGAGAGTCAACAGTGTTACAAAAAGCTCAGACGCTGACTCTGGTCCAGGCTTCTGTCTCTGCTTCTCTTCCCTGTGTTTGGCCCTGTGAGCTTGTCAGACAGGACAAGGCAGTTATCTCCATTTGAAGGGAGAGAGGGTAAAACTATTCTTCATTATTATTCATATATTTCAGTAATCTAGGATTCCCCCCTGTTCTCCAGATCAGAATCAGTGAGTCTGATAGAGTGTAATTCCTAAAAACGAAAACAAATCCCCCAAAATATCAATAGAAAATAAAAAGAAAAGCAAAGAAGCAAAACAAAAACCCAAGCACCATAAGCTAATATGCACTTGCTCCCAAATCATGTCTTTGGCTGTCATGGTCCTTCTTTTCTTTGCCTAAAAGGATCCCTGGGCCTTGATTTCACCCTATTTCATTTCATGAGAATGACTCTCACAAATAAAAAATAAATTGAAAGAGGGTTCCCACAGGTAGGATGAACAGGCCCTTAAGTATTCCACACACTCACACTTAGGCAACTCCAGTTGGGGAAAGGCTGAATCAAACCCCAGGAACAGGTCCAAGGGAATTATTTTCTCTTCCTATCAATTCAGTCACCACCAAGACCCCTTTTCCAATCAGTGTACTGGGGTCCTTTCAAAGATCTTCACTAGAGGGCCAGGAGAAACCTCTGAGTTCACTGGCCCATGCCAGAAAAGTTTCTGAGTTCGCTAAAACCTGACACCCCCGCCCCCTCCTGGTTTCCTGGCAGGCCACTTAACCTGAAAGGGGGGCTTGCGGGAGAAGCAGCCGGTCCCTCACCCACTCCTACAGTAAGGAGACTTGGGACCGGCCTCAGGCCCAGAGACGCCCCATACCCTCCTCCCAGAAGGGGACAAAAAAAGACCCGTTTTGGTATTCCCCCCAACCCTAAGGAGGAGGAGAAGTAACTGGGTGGCCTCGGACATCTCTCCAGGACTCACACTCAGCAAATGCGCTACGCGCCAAGACTCCCGCCCTCCGCTACCTACTCAGGTCCCCAGACCCAACAGCACTGACCTGCCCCTCGCTTGGGAGGAAGGGGGGCGCCTGGTGAGTGGCAGCAGGGGCCCGTGGTCTCGGGGGGTGCAGGGTTCCCCCTCTTCTCATCACTCCTCTTCCTTGGCAGTCCTCCTCGGCCCCCCGCGTGCCCCCCCACACCCCCAGCCAAGGCGAGCGTCCAGCCGCGACACCCGGCTGGCTACATTTCGTTTCTGCGTTACAGCGAGGCCGCAGCTCCGCTTCCACGAGTGGGAGGTGACCGGGGAGAGCAGGATATACCGCCTCGGCCCGGCGGGGGGGGACCTGGACGGGGGAACTGGGGAGCCGAGCTCTCTCGTCCCCAATCGCTTGTTGCCCGCCGACTTGGGCCTGACTGGTTGGCTGCCGGTGGCAAACGTGATCTGGGGCAGACTGGGAGGCACCCCCTCCTCCATCAAAAATAAAAAAATAAAAAAATAAGATTCTGGACGGACAGCTGCAGCAGCCAATCGGGGAGCGGTATGAGGGCGGGCCCAACCTCGGCTCGGCCCCTTTCCTTCGCTTTGTGCTACGAAGGCGGGGCGCCGGGGAAAAGCTGGGCGAGGAGTGACGGGAACTGCGAGCCGGCTGTCGCCGCAGCGGCCAGCAGGTCCCTGCGCGCATCGGCCAGTGGCCCGCCCCATGTCCCTGCTGGCCGACGCTCACTACGCAGTCCCACCGCCATCGCGTCCGCTCCGCAGTGCCGGAGCTCCTGTCGCCTTAGAAAGGCCAGTGCGCCTGTGCGCGGGTCCCCGGGCATCTCGAGTGCTTCCTTCGAGCCTCTGGCCTTCCAGACGACCGGCCAACATCCCTGCGGAGCAGCCAACCAGCTCCGGTCCCGCGAGCTCCAGCAGCCATCCGCTGCTCCTTCCCCGCGTCTAGTCCCCGGACCCAACCGTCCTTACCCAGTTCTTGGACCCCGCTCTTCTCTCGCTGACTGGTCACGTCGCGCTTCCGCCGGGTTCCGCGTTCCTCAAAGCAAATGACTTGGCCCTTACGAATCCGGTCTTAATAAAGTCCCAGCCTTCAAAGGGGTGGGGATGGGCGGGAGGGAGGGAAAAAGAGGTCAGACTCGTGGCCGGGGTCGCACACACATCACCTGAGGTAAGGGCGGCGGCGGGGAGGGGGGCGCGCCTTCCTTTGACCCACTGARCCTCGTGGCCGCACGGGTGGTAGCGGTGGGGCAGATGCCTCTATCCCGAGCGAAATGAAATCCAAGTTTCCCTGACGCACCTTGTGGGATCAAAGAGGGGTGTTCCCAAGCTCGCTTTTTGCCACTTCCTCCCTGGGGTGTCCCCACCTCTCCAACGCAGACCCACAATATTCATTCTCACTGGGATGTTTTCGCGCAGGGGATGTGACCCTTCCCCCAAAAGGAACCCCCACTGTCAGGTTTTCCTCTCTTGTCGGTGGAACCTGTGACCAGAGGTTCCTTCCTGCCCTCGCGGAAAATGGCGCACGGGGCATTTGTACGGGAGTTTGGAACAGAGAAGTACCTGAGAAGAAGCGTCAGGGCTGGCTATGGAATTTTCAGCACACGTATGCACCGAGGGCACACACAGCAACCTGAGCAAGTCATTCCTTTGGACAGCGATTAAAAATACATACACTCAACCAGCCCCGTACCCTCCAATCCAGTACCCTAGGATTAGCAGCTCAGCTACTGGGGCCTTGYATTAAGGGCCTACAATCTTTGGGGACCCAGTGAAGCCAATGTCAGTGTCTCAGATCCCAATTTTGGCTTTAAATACTGAGTCTCTCAGCCTGAAGACAGAAGTAGATCTGATACTGGGAAACACTAGGCCTCCTCCAGAATACCAGGTTTGTGAATCCCTAAGGTTGGSCTGGGAATTATGACTGATGTGTATGTCCAGTCAGGAACTGGAGACAACTTTTCCCTACTCCATTCAATGCCCCCCAACCCACTCTATTTCATCTCGACAGCTTGTTCAGCTACCTATGTATAAAATCTTGATCTTCTTCCTATTTCTTTATTAATTTTTTTTTTTGTAGTTGTAGATGGACAGAATGCCTTTATTTGTTTATTTTTTTAATGTGGTGCTAATCATTGAACCCTGTGCCTCACACCTGCTAGCTCTGTTACTGAGCTACAGCCCCAGTCCTATTTCTTTACATTTTCCATTTTTTAATCCCCCTTATTTCCTGTGGATACTTTTCCAAAAAGTGAATGCATTTTAGACATATGGGATAGTGTTCAAAATCTAAGTGCACAGATTAACAAATCATAACACAGTGAGTAGACAGACCCACATAGCCACCACCCAGATTAAGAATTTATGTGCATCCCAGCAGCCCTCCTTCTATCCCCTCCTGGTCACATCACCCTTCTTCCCAAAGGAAACCTCTCTTTAACACTATCAATTAATTTTACCTGCCTACTTTTGATTTTTATRTAAATGGAACCATTCAGTAGGTATTATTTGTGTCTGACTTCTTTCGCTCAATAATATGTTTCTGAAACTCATCTATAATATGTGGTATCAGTAGTTCATTTATTTTAATTGCTATATAATATGCCATTAAGTGAATATGCCACAATTCATCTGTTATTTTGTTGATGGTCATTTGTTTCTAGTTTGGTGTTATTACATGAAACTACTATAACATTTTTTGTTCATGTCCTTTGTGCACTTGTGTTCATACTTTTTTGGAAATATACACAGGAATAGAATTATTAGGTTGTAGCACTGGCAAATGTTTAGCTTTAGCAAATACTACTAAACAATTTTCCTTTGTGCTTGTGTTAATTTACAGTCTTCCCAACAGTGTCTTACCATTCTAGTTGTTACATGTTCTTATCAACACTTAGTATTATCAATCTAAAAAGATTAAAAATTTTAGTCATCCTGTTGGGTGTGTAATCGTATTTMATTGTGGTGTAAATTTGCATTTCCTATAGTCAGGTGTGGTAGCACACCCCTGTGATGCCTATGACTCAGAAGACTAAGTCAGGAGGATTGCAAATTCAAGACSAGTCTGGGCAACTTAGTGAGACCCTCAGCAACTTGGCAAGTCCTTGTTGCAAAATATAAAATGAAAAGGGTTGGAAATGTAGCTCAGTGATAAAGTGTCCCTGGAAGAAAAAAAAAATTGCATTGACCTCATATTGGATGAGGTTGAATACCTTTTCCTACGTATATTTGCCACTTGGATATTTGTTCAAGTATTGTGTCAATTTTCTATTTGGTTTTATATGTTCTTGCTTCATGGGGGTTCTTTATATACTCAGATATGAATTCTTTGTTGATTATTGATATCATAAATACTTCTATAAGTATATAAGTACAGAAGACTTTATTTGGGGGTCTTCTGAAGTGTCAGGGCCACTGGGACAACACTATAATCTGTATATTTTGATCACTAGTATATCTCTGGCTCTTGGCACATAGAAGTACTCAGTAAATGTGTTGAGTGAATGATGGATGAGACAGAAGAGTCTTATTTAGGTAGTGTGCCCTACATTGTGCTTGTCCCTAGATTCAAACACCAAGAGGTCTGAAGGAAGCAGATTTCTTCCTAGCCCAGGCAGCKGTAACCTTGGGAAGGGGAAAACATCCCGGCCCTTCTTTTCTGAAAGAGCAGAAATAGCTACAGTCTGTAAAGCAAGAAGCACAGATGTAGGGAGCAGAGGTCACAGATGAAAGGACAGGAACTAGCAGCAGGTAGAAGGCCAGCCAGATACTTCTGAAGGAGAGACTCCTTTGGGGTTGTCAAGAAGATAGTGAAGGTCCCTGGACATTATTGTGGACCTTTGTGTGTCAGAAACCTTCAAAGGTCATGAACTCAAGACAGATCCACTCAAAGTTGGTTAGCTGAAAGCTCTTCCACACTCAGAAACATATTTCCCCTGCAAAGGCGGGTCCCCTGATATTCTGGTTGCAGGGTCTCACTCTTAACCTCTCACTGGGACTGCCCCGCCCCATCTAGCTTTAACTTCCTTATGACTTAAAATGTCCATACTAAAGATGGAAGACCACTAAGTCACTTCCAGTCCCTTGTTCTCTACAAAGTCTTCTCACAGGCCTGTTGCATTTTGCAACACTTCCAGCTTGCTGGCTTTCTCTCCAGTGGCCTCTTCTGCTCCTTCGGTTATAGTGCCGAGACCAGCTCTGATCAGGAGTTTGTGATTCCAATTCCTATGGGAAGGAGAGATTGCCCCCTTGCAATAYCCTAACAAACTCACAGTGTCTTCTCCCTCGGTCCTCCAGAAGGCATCCAGAAGCTAATGGTAGCTTTGAAAATTTCTAAATAGGATAAGCTTGGGGCAGAGTGAAACTGGATGGCTTGTCTTGAAATGGCATTTATATAGCAGGCKCAGAATTCTCACTTAGAATTTGATTCTACCGGGAGATGGGAGAGAGTGCCATGGGAAGAGGGAATTGTTGATCACTACCAGGGTCCAGTGAGGACCCTATGATGGAAGGGCCCTCTGGGGGCAGCCTTCTTCATTCTTGTCTTGACACTTGTCAGGCAATACATGGTTCAATAAGCTTTTATCCTGAGGTCCTCTGGCCCCATGGCTTTCCTTTAGGGATGGCTGCTATCTACCAGTGCTTCCATGGACTACGTGGATAGTGAAGCATCATAAAATTCCATAGCCCCATGGATCCTAGACCCCCTAACCAGTGTGACAGAGTCACAAGACTCACCTAATATGGTTGGAAACTTTTCTGTCTTTTGTTTTGCTGGGAGAGGGTACCCCCTCCCATTTTCCCCTTGCTGTAACCCCTCCCCTGCTATCTCCCTCCCAGAGGTCAACTTCTTTCCTGCTGCCCAGAGCTGAGGTGATATCCCCTTCCGGCTTCATTCAGTGATAGGAGGATGTAGTGATGGGGGTGGGATGGGGAAGTGTAGCCATCTGTACTCAGTCAGTTGCTGTCCCTATCCCCTTGACTTCTCTATAATTGAGTTTCCTTTTCTCAAAGCCCCCTCATTACCTACCCTGGGATTCTTTGAGGCAAGATGGTTCTGGTGGTTGAAATTGCTGAGTATAGCTGAGAAGCCTTAGCAGCAAGCAAGATAGTCCAGTGAGTTAGAAGTGGGGATAGAGAAGTGATCTTCGAGAGGAATGTGCCACAGCTGTGTAATCATGTGGGATGGATTCATGCTCAGCCACATATTAGGTATGTGACCTTGGACAAGCTTTTTTATGTCTCTGAGCTACATCTATAAAATGAAAATATAACTCACTTTCTCAGAGATGCTGGGAGGATTAGTGATAATACAACATTTGAAAAATTCTCGGTATACAGTAAGACAGCTATGATTTCACCAGAGAGTAAGAGCCACAAATAGGGATTAAGTGTCCAGAAGTGGCAGCTCAGGCTCTCTCTGGGCCTCATACTGAATTCTGGACCTCATGGTGT